AGTTCTCTTCACAGTTTTTACATTTGGCTGTATCTTTACCATATGACTGAAGCTTTGGAAACTTATTTTCACATGTGTTTTGTGTTTTTATTTAAACAAATTCTTTATTCAAGAGAAATTGAGTCCCTATACTTTTGTTTTGACTTTCCAAGTGCACTCTTGAAAGAGCCTTTTGATGTCAACAGACCAGCATATTTTGTGATAAACCTTTATATATTTTTCTCAGCATAGGAAACTATATTTTGCCAAGCATGCAAAACTTTACACCTCAAAATGCTTGGAAGTCTGTTTAAAACTCAAAGTACATTCTGGATGTGTCCCATGCTGAGGGTTTTGTTTGGATTTGTGGTTTGGGTTTGTTTGGTTTTCCTCCTCCCTACATCTTTATATTAGAGGAAAATGGGGGGTCTTTATGCAAAGGAGCTGGGAGAGTGTGGGACTAGGAGTCAGCAAACCTGGGGCGAGTGCAGCTTTTTCCCTGAATAGCACTGAGACCTCAAACTTGTCACCGAATGAGCCTATTTCTTCATTTGCCCACTTCATGTAACTGTAACAAAGATCAAATGAGATACTATTCCATCCAGATTGGTTTAGTAAACCAGAAATACCATGACAACACAGGCTTGGAGTATGCTTTAGACATTATTGCCAAATGCACATAATTATTTTAAAGATGTAATGATGTAAACAGGCATTCCACACTTTGAACGAGGTGTTTCAACTTAGAAGCTGTCTGGTCATTTTCAGAAAGATTCCTTAGAGGAATTTGTACTTGAACTTCAAGCTGAATAAATGTTATTTCTGTTGAGACTTGGAATTGATTAGTCCAGAATAGTTTATTTAAGGTTGTAAATGACTTAAGGTTTGGTGTGTGTGTATGTGTGTGTGTGAGAGAGAGAATGTGTGTTGCTTTCCTCTCCCTCCTTCCAACTCACTGTTTCTTGGTCCAGATGGTCCACCCTGTTGGGTTTCAAGAAGGGGGTAAAGTGAAAATGTGTCTTTCTTGTTCCTAACATGAGAACATGATAAAAATCTGTATTTGCTGGGTTAGAACAAAAGGCCCAGAGTAATCCCTATGTGTCACACTAAAAATAAAAGAATAATAACACTGAAAACCAAGAGGCCTATAATTAAACAGAGTTTTAAAAAAATAATTAGGTGAAGATTTACAGAGCAAATCATCAGTTTGTGTTAGGATAATCAACCATTTAAGATACCAGGAGGGTAAAGGGAAGATGAGGGGGGAAAGAGGGAATTGATCACAATGATCTACATATAAGCCCCTCTCTGGGAGGCACACAACAGAAAAGTAGGTGAACAGAGACATCGGTCAGTATAAGACATGAAAAAATAATAATAATTTATAACTTATCAAGGGTTCATGAGGGAAGAAGGGTGGCAGAGGAAAAGAGGGGGAAAAATGAGGAGCTGATACCAAGGGCTAAAGTAAAAAGAAAAGGTTTTGAAAATGATGGCAACAAATGTACAAATGTGCTTGACACAATGTATGTATGTATGTATGTATGTATGTATGTATGTATGTATGTATTGTGATAAGAGCTATATGGGCCCCCAATAAAATTATTATAAATAAATAAGGATAGTTAAGTGTTGGATGAATGGTGAGTACATGTATATATTACCCGTTTCCAACAAATTACTAGTGTGGCAGGAAAGAAACAATAAGGTATAAACTCACAAAGAAAAGAGAAGATAAAGGTATCAACGGAAGGGTTTGCACAGAGCAGCATCCTAGACAAAGAAGGCAATGCACCCTGCAGAATGCAGAAAATGCTCAAGCACTGGAAGCAGCAGCTAACTGGGGAGGCATGGTGAGAGCAAATGCTGAAGTCAAGAAGAATGGTTGAAAGTTTATCAAATAAATGGTTGGACAATAGGCATCCTTCCTCATGCCGACACAGCCAAGAACTCCTCCATCTGGCCGCAAACAGGAGACGGTGGTTGTCTGTTGATCCTAGACTAGAGATGTATAAATGGTTGGACACAAACCGAAAAGTTGTAGTCACTTCCTCCCAGGAGTGCCTTGAAAGAAAACCGTATCTATCGATTTCCAAAAACCAGCCATTGATAACTCCGTTGTTTCTACTGACACACATGGTATTTCCGTGAATCAGAATCAACTCCATAGCAAGTGGTTACTGGTTAGACTTGAGGTTCACACATGGAAGATAGGATGTGGAGCCTTAGAGAAACATGGGGGCCTATGGAAAAGCCATTGAGAGATGATCAGTCCCTTCATTCATTAATCTCATAAGATACTGGCAACCAAGGTAGGAGATAAGAAGATCTCCTCTGGAGAAAAACCTGTGCAAGGGTAGAGATAGGGAATGCTATTGGCAGTAGGGTGTTCCAGCAACACCATTCATGTGCATGGGTTGGGGGCCTTGGAGGAATTGAGGAAGGATTGAATAGTGTTTGTGTTTTTGTTGTTGTTAGGTGCCATCGCGAAGTGGGTTCTGACTCACAGCAGTCCTATGTACAACAGAAGGAAATACTGCCGGGTCCTGTACCTTCCTCACAAGTTTCTATGGAAAGTTCCATGGGCTTCCAACAGACCTGGAAGAAGTACAGCCAAAATGCTCCTTACAGACAAAGATAGCGAGACTTCATCTCAAAGACTTTGGACATGTTCTCAGAAGGGACGGGTCTCTCCAGAAGGACTGGGGCAGCGAAAAAGAGGGACACCTTTGACAGCATGGATTGGCATATAGATGGGCTCAAACATCAGCACAACGATGAAGCTGGCACAGGACCAGGCAGCATTTCCTTCTGTGGTACAGAGGGGTACTAGCAATTGGAAAGGACTCAATGGCACCTAGCCAGAACAGCATCCACACCATTAGACCTTTCCTCACTGCCTCCAGGGAAACCCCCCAAGGCCTCACCCATGCACATGAATCTTCCAATCAGTTCTGAATATTAATGGTCAATCAATTGGCACTAGACATTTAAGAATGGCCCTGGTGGCACTTTGTGTAAGTATTGGTTCAAACCCTTCAGCTGTTCCACAGGAGCAACATGAAGCTGTCTGCTCTGGTTAAGAAGGACAGCCTCAGATATCAGCCCCATGGCTGCTCAACACGGACATGCGTATATTACCTGTTTACAACATATTTCTAGTGTGACAGGAAAGAAACAATAAGGTATAAACTCCCAAAGAAAAAAGACGATAAAGGTATCAATAAACACCTAGAAGATGGACCGCCTTGGATGAGTGACTGAGTACAGCAGGCGAAGATTGAAGGAAGGGCTCAACATGAGAAAGAAAATGCAAACCAAGCAAAATCAAGAGAAGAAGGAAAACATAGGCTGTAGAAGAAATGTTTGATATATTTGATCGTCCTCAGACAGATGAGGGTAAAAGACACACTCATGAGAAAAAGACGAGAGTAACATTAAAATGGGGAAACATCAGAAAATAAGAAAGAGCTCTGGAAATTATAATTATGTAAGTAAAATGCTTTTAAAAGCAATATGAGATATGAAAGGCACAATTAAACAAATTTCCCAGGATAATTAAAAATGAGGCTGAAAAGAAGAGTAAATAAGGTAAATGAATTAAGAGAATCACTCCAAGAATTCTGTCATCTAACTAATATGAATTCCAGAAAGAAAAAGGTAAAGGAAATGTAGGGGCAAAATCATCAAAGATCTAAGAAATCTCCCAGAACAAAACATATATGAACTTACAATTTTAAAGGATTAATGAATGACTAAAATAATTTTTTACATGCCCACACAAACGCAGAGACTTTTATACTTTTACACTTCCTTGTTTTACAACTTCATAGTTCTGAAAGTTATTTCAGAACTATAATCAAAACTATGATTGCAAAAAATAATAATAATTTAAGAGTCATTTACTATTTCTGGGTATAAAAAAACAAAACAAAACAAAAACTGTTAAAGATTAGAAACTATACCCTTTTCCCAGTCAGGCTTAAGGGCACTCAACAGGGAAAGGTAAGCTGCCCACAACTCTGAAGAGCTCCAAGTATAATTGGTGTGGTAGAAAATACCTTGGACCAGGAATTCATCTGAAGAGCAACTCACTTAGTTTCTTTGAATCACACGTGTCTCGTTTACAAACCGAAATTTACTTTGCAAACAACTAAACTTTAATGCAAGATAATAATAGAATAAATAATAAATAAGGAACGTGAGACGGAGCCTGCACAAATACACTCTTTGGAGAGGGTGCCCTCTACTCAGATCTCACTAACTGTTGTTAGCTGGGAGGGCCAGTGGGTCAAGGGAAACTGAAAAACCTAGAATTTCATGTGCAAGATCCAGGTTTTAAAATGCTTTAAAATACACAATGCCTCTCAAACCACACCACTCTGCGGGTCACATCCAACTCACAGAGTGCGGCCATGAACCTTTGACATGAGTAGAGTATTAAGATTCCGCATAGGGCCATGACTCTGTGCCAGAGCAATGTCACATTCCTAAACGTTCTCACTGAATGTGCATTTCTACATGGCCGCCCCGGTGGCACACTGGTTCACTGCCTGGTTGTTAACCTAAATGGCGGCACTTTGAGTTCACCCAGTGACTCCGTGGGAGAAGGGCCTGGCCATCTGTTTCTGCATAGATTGCAGCCTAGATCCCTATAGAGCATTTCCAATCTGTTCATGGGGTCTCTGTGAACTGAACATTGACCTGAAAGCAATTAACAGCAACATGGTTTTTATCTCCCCCAAAGATACAGCTTATCCAAATTTGCCATCTCAGCTTACTTCATTTTGTGACCTGTGTAAAGGCTCGACTCAAGGAAGCAGTCACAGAGAGGCTCTGCAAAAGACATGTGAGATAAAAACAGTAAAGGACTAATTTTCATGAGGCCACTATTGTCACGTTCTTCCACAAAAATAGCAATTGCCTTAGACAATGGACAGCATTACAGTTATTTCAATCAAGCTTGATATTTACTAAGGAACATTTTACCCACCGCTGTTAATTATCTTCTTGGTTCCCAGGTCTAGAAAACATGAAGACTGTGGTATTTTTCCTGTACATCTTGGGAGCTACAACTGCAATCCCGGTCAGTTTTCTTTTCTGTTATTACATCTCTCCCTCCTGACATATAACTTATAATTCCAATTTTTTTAAAGTCATTAGATTCTGGTTTAAGTTCTTTTTCTTTTAATTATACGTGTTGCCCAAGCAGGTAAAGCATAACCAAGAACATTGAGAAAAAGTTCTTTCTTAAAAAAAATAATTTCTTTTATCAGATTCCACCAGATTCAACAAAATGTGAAGCCAAAGAGTGTTAGTTGGTAGTTTTGGCCATAGAATATTTCCAAATACCAAAAAGAACAGAAAGAAAGAGGTTATTCTATAGAAGCTCATCACACTGGTATAAGAAATCTATAATAAAAAAACAGGAAGACATGAGTTAGGGTGTAGTAGCCATTGACAGGGTCCTAATTCTTTCTAGAGCCGCTGTCTAAGCAAACATGCCACAAACAGTCCTAGACCATTAGCTTCTTCATAGTATCATCTGCTAGTGGCCCAGATATACTGGCTCCACCATTCACACAGCAAGCAAGCAGCTTGTAACACATCAGATTGTTTGCGACCATGACTGCAGTCTCAAAATAGAAAAAGGAAAGGGAGAGTGGGGAACCTTCACTTGCTTGATGTCTCTCAGATCATCCGTGTCATTATTAATCAAGCCAATTTGTGCAATATTTTCTTTTTCGCCAAATGGAATAATCAGCCTCCCTTATTATGAATTGCTGTTTCCCTCCCTGCCCACCACAAGTCTAAATTCTGACCTTGCTTTTGGATACCAGTGGTTATCTCTAGTAGTTAGAAGTGTCAGCAAAGGCGAATTTCACACCACTCACACTAAGCTGTTCTTGGAAGATAGAATCTATGACCACTACTAAGTGTCTAAAGCTGCTCCAACTAAAACCACGCAGTGTCCAAAATGCAAGATAAATTCATGTTCAGGACAGAAAGAAGCTCCCCACCAGGCTTGCAGAAGGCCATGGATGACAGTAAAAGCCCTACATCCATGGGCAGCGACCCATGTGGATTAAGACTGGAGAATCCCCTCTGACTATTGATCAGAGATGTGAATAGCCCTGCTGTCAGACAGAGTGAATTGGATTAAGTCTGATGTAGTTAGGTTAAAATTTAACACAGTATTTGTTCTCTTTTTTTGACCCATTTTAAATTTGCCCTGGTTTAATATTTTCTGCTTTCTTTTGAATCGATGTCTTTCTGTGTTTTATTTTGTAATTGTTGTTGGGTGGAGGTTGTATATTTTTCTTTATATAAAATCCAGGATATGTAAATCTATAGAGACAGTAATTGTTAATAGTTTCTTGGAGTTGTGGCAGGAGAGATTGGGGTGGGGGAAGTGGGAGCTAATAATAATGAGCACAGAAATGAAGTAAAATTCCAAAATTGATTGTGCTGATCGTTATACAACTCTTTTAAATATGTTTAAACCATTGAAATGTATGGTATAGGAATTATATGTCCATGAAACTGAAGGCAAAAAAGAACAAAAGAAAGCCACTTTCATAGACTCATTCTTTTTATCCTGGAAATGTTTTTCTTACAGCTGTTGCTGCTGCATAAACAGACATCAAAAAAGACTTTGAATCATATGTTTGAGTGACACATCTGTATATAGACACAGCCCAGATGTGTTTTTTCTATGGCAATTTGTTATCACGCAGACCCAGCCAAAAGCTAGAAAATAAAACAGCTTCTTATATGAGGTGTCTAGTCAAAGACTTGTTTCAATGTCCCCCACTACTCCTCTGTCAGTTTGTTATACTGTGATGACTTGTGTGACGGTGTGATGCTGGAAATAATGCTACTGCTTCTGCAAATACCAGAAGAGTGTGATGTTGTTGTTGTTGTTGTTGTTGTTAGGTGCCATTGAATTGGTTCTGGCGCAGAGCAATCTCATGCACAACAGAGTGAAACACTGCCCATCCTGCACCATCTTCACAGTTGTTCCTATACTTTAGCCCATTGTTGCAGCCCCTGTGTCAATCCCTTTACTTAAGGGCCTTCCTCTTTTTCACCGCCCCTCCACTTAAGCAAGCATAATGTCATTTCTTCAGGGACTGGTCTCTCCTAACAACATGTACAAAGTATGTGAGACAAAGTCTTGCCATCTTTGCTCTAAGGAGCGCTCTGGCCGTACTTCTTCAAAGACAGATTCCTTTGTCCTTTTAGCAGTCCAGAGTGTTTTCACGATCCTTCTCCAGCACCACAATTCAAATGATTTATTCCTCTTCAGTCTTCCGGTTCAATGTCCAACTTTCACAAGCATAAGATGCAATGGAAAATACCATGACTTGTGTCAGACACACCTTTGTCCTCATAGAAACATACTTGTTTTTCAACACTTAAAATAGGTCTAGTGCGGCAGATTTACCTAATGCAACGTGTCTTTTAATCTCTTGACTGCTGCTTCCATGAGCATTGATTGTGAATGCAAACAAGACAAAATCTTTGACAACATCAAACTTTTCTCCATTTATCATGATGTATGTAACCTAATGGCCCAGTTGTAAGGGTTTGGGTCTTCACATTGAGCTGTAATCCATACTTCTTCAAGCCACTTTTAGCAAGCAAGGGTTATTGTCATCTGCATATCTCAGGTTATTAATAAGCCTTCTTCCGATCCTGATGCCATATTCCTCTGCATATAACCCAGCTTCTCTGATGATTGACTCAGCACACAGATTGAATAAGCATGCTGAGAGGATACAACCCTGACACACATCTCTCCTGATTTTAAACCGTGCAGTATTCCCTTGTTATGTTCACATAACTGCCTCATACTCCATGTACAAGTTCTATATGATCACAATGAAGTGTTCTGGAATTCATGTTCTCTCAATGTTATCCATAGTTTATGATCCACACAGTCGAATGCCTTGGCATAGTCAATAAAACCCAAGCAAATACCTTTCTAATATTCTCTGCTTTGAGCCAAGATCCATCTGATATGAGTAATGATATCTCTTGTTCCATGTCCTCTTCTGAATCGGGTCTGAACCTCTCGCTACAAAACCAAACCCATTGCCATTGAGTCAATGCTAATTCATAGTGACCCCCTGTGGGTTTCTGAGACTGCAACTGCTCACGGAAGTAGAAAGCCCAGTCTTTCTCCCACATGGCTACTACCGACCATGGGGATTGCAGCCCAATGGTAACCACCACACCACCAAGGAACCTCTGGCAGCCCCCGTAACTGTACTGTTGCAGCCTGTGTTAGATGATCTGCAGCAAAACTTACCTACATAAAATAACAATGATATTTTTTTACAATGTGAGCATTCTGTTGGGTCATCTTTCTTTGGGATGGGTACACATATGGATTTCTTCCAATCAGTTGGCCAAGTAGCTGTCTTCCAAATTTCTCGGCATAGATGAGAAAGTGCTTACAGCACTTCATCAGCCTGTTGACACATCCCAATTTGTAGTCCATCAATTCTTGCAGCATTGTTTTTGGCTAATGCTTTGAGTGCAGCTTAAACCTCTTCCTTCAGCACCATTGGTTCTTGCTCATATGCTACTTCTTGAAATGGTGGGATGTCGACTAGTTCTTTTGGTACAGTGACTCTGTGTATTTTTTTACATCTTCTTTTGATGTTTGCCCATGGAATATTTCAATATTGCAACTTGACACTAGAATTTTTTCTTGACACTAGTGTTTTTTAAGATATGATAAGTGCATTCTTCATTTTCAGTTTGCTAACTCTAGGGCCGTGCACATTTCATAATAATATTTGGCTGTATCTTCTAGAGCTACCCTTTTAAATTTTCTTTGACTTCACCCTTTCCTCCACTGGGTTTAGATACTCTACAATTCAGAGCAAGTTTCACAGTCTCTTCTGACACCCACTTTGATCTTTTCTTTCCTTCCTGCCTTTTTAATGACCTTTTGCTGTCTTTGTGAAGGATGGGCTTGATGTTCATCCCACAGCTCATCGGGTCTTCAGTCATTAGTAGTCAGGGCAGCAAATTTATCCATGAGATGTTCTCAAAATTTAAGTGAGATAAACTTAAGATTGTATTTTGTCACTTGTGGACTTGTTTTAAGTATTTTCAGCTTTAACCTGAACTGATTTATGAGCAATTGATAATCTGTGACACAGTCTGCCCCTGTCCTAGTATTAGCTGTTGATAGTGAGTTTCTCAAGCGTCTCTTCCCACAGATGTAGTCAGTTCAATTTCTGTGTTTCACTCTGGAGGCATCCATGTGTATAGTTACCTTCTGTGTTGTTGAGAAAAAGCATTTACTATGAACAAGTTATTGGTCTTGAAAAACTCTATCATTTCCTCTAACACCTTTATCCCCAAGATAATATTTTCCAAGTATTTTTCCTTCCTCTTTATTTCCTACTTTTATACCTCAATTGCCAATAATTATGAATGCATCCTGATTGCATGTTTGATCAATTTCAGTCTGAAGACATTGGTAACATTTCTTCATCACTAGATTCCATTGTTGGTGCATAAATTTGAATCATAGTTGTATAGAATGGATTTCCTTGAAGGCAAATAGATATGATTCTAACACAGACCACATTGTACTTGATTTTGAAATGACCTTTTGACAATGAACACAGTCTCATTCCCTTGATTGTGCCATTCCCAGCATAGTATATCATTTTCTGATTCAAAATGGTCAATACTAGTCCATTTCAACTCACCAATGTCTACTATATTGATCTTTCCGTGATCTATTTCATTTTTGATGTTTTCCAACCTTCTTAGATTCTACTTTTCATATTCCAAGTTCTGATCATTAGCAAATATTTTGCAACTGTTTCGTCTTACCCTGTGTCGTGCCTCATCAGAAAAGAAGATCCTGAAGGCTCCACTCTCCAAGACTACACCCACTCATATCACTGGTCACCTCCACTTGGAGAAAGCAGCTTTTCTCCAGTCACATTTCGAGTGCCCTCTGACCGGAGAGGCCCATCTTCTGGCACTATCTCTGACAATGTTCTGCTTACACTCATTAAGCTGTCAATATTTGACAATGTTTTAGAAGCTGTGCAT